CCCAGCTTGAGTAGACTGTGGATTATCTCCGATCAGCAGTCCGTCTTTGTTTCCATGTCGCGTCGTGATTGTCCTAGGGTTCTGGCTACGCGCGTTATCATCCCCGCCACGTATTCTCAGGACACATAGTCACCGCTACTCCTGCGACCGTCCAAGAAATGACTGGCAACAATTTTCCAGGAATAAAGGACTGCAGTAAGTAGGCTGATCAGGTGGCAGGTCCGACGCGCGACATACGCGACACAGTTGCGCGCACCTACCCCGGGTTCTGGATAAAAGCCCGAATGCATCGACTGGTCTCGAAACCATATCGCAGGCTGCTATGCACTTGCACCAGCAACAGGCCACACTGGAGTTCGGGAGTAGTTTTGTAAAACTATCAAGGCCGGAGCACTGAAGGCCTGGATGTCGCGCACCACTAGCAACGCGCTCCACCTCACGACGGAGTGACAGCCATATCAGGCCGCGCAATACTGCCGAGCATCGTAAGTCACATGGACCTTACAATGTCGGGTCTCTCGATGCGACAACAGCCTGGTCCTCGGACGTGTCATCGTAGTGCTGACGCTGAAACTCTGCGTTGCGTTTGAGTGAGATCGAGCTCTGCGACGCCTGGCCTGAATCTCGATGGCAAGGTTGTTGAGGCAGATTCGATGCGCCAGGCGCACAAACATGGCGTTAGTCCTATCGCGACTCTGCAGCAGCCACACCCGCAGAGGCTCGTCGCCGCATCATCATCAGTAAGCCTTCCAAGGTTGACGTGAGATTTCGTCCGCAGGTGTTGGGAAGCATTCACGATCTTCACTCCGCGCAATCGAAGAGTCTGCGCCTTGCTGGACGTCACCAGCACTGCGATCGAAGCGGAGGCGGCGGGATCTTACGCAAGCCGGCTTAGTCGTGGAGCCGTGACATCATAGTCGCGTCCTAGCAACAACACCGCTTGTATGAGACTTTCATTGCGCCGCAGACTGTCCTGCCATCATATCTGCTTTTGGTCCCCTCTCATCTTCTTAGGCCTGCTCCCTGCTGCTGATCGCGTCCTCGTGTCTTTCCTGCTTCACTCCCCTCACTTCACCTTCTGGTCGCGTGCCGTCTTACCCTATCCGCACACTCCCGTCGCAGGCGCGTTGGATACCCCTTGGAGTCGCAACAGGACTCATCGCCGCTCTACCCGCAAATCTCAAAAGACCGTCGAGGGACATCAGCCAGCATGTTGGGGCTCTCGTATTGGGTCGTCCCCATCTTCTCCGCAGTAGTATGGACTGCTATGCTCATCACCATGCTGGTGTACTGGGCTGCCACCGGCAAACCGCATTATGTGACGATGAGCGACGGGCAAAACATCCCTTACATTTCTGGTGAGTTATGCAGAATGGGCACTCTACGATTCATACAATGCTAACGCCATCCAGACATTGGTGCGGATTACCTCAAAGCCATGTTCATTGCCATGTCCGCCGTTACTGTCGTAACCTTCGATCTCGCCTTCATTTTCGAGCGCTGGCTGCGACACACCAACAAACTTGCGCCAAACACGTCTCACTGGCAGAAGATCTACTCGGGTTGCGCAACCGTCGCCGCCATAATCGGTGCCGCCGGTCTGATCCTCCTTACCATCTTCGATTGCAAGAACCACAACAGATTGCATAACATCTTTCTTGGTGTCTTCATCATCGGCTACATCGTCTCGGCAATCTTCATTTGCTGGGAGTACCAGCGCCTAGGCATACACTACCGCGAGCACTCCATCCTCCGAATCTCCTTCTGGATCAAACTCTTCTTCATCATCACCGAAGTGTGCCTCGCCATCGCCTTTGCGGTATGCTCCAAGCAGCACATCTATAACGTGGCTGCTGTCCTGGAATGGTGTGTATCCTTCATCTACTGCTTCTACGTCTTCAGCTTCTTCATCGACTTCCTACCTGCCACGCGCACCAAGAACCACCAGTCCAAGCAGACCGAGATGCAAGTCTTCGAGGAGAGCGGCGAGACCGGACGAACCCACCCCCACCACCACATGGGCGATGGCGCTGCGGATAGCCAGCAATACTACCGTGGCAACTCGCAAATGGCCGTACCGCAAACTAATGGTTACGCCAACGGATACACCAATGGCAACTCCCTTACCAGTGGTCAGGCTAACGGCTACGTATCACACACCGGAAACGGCTACCCTATGCCCGCGCAGGACCCGTCCCCACTGCCATCGCGCAACTTCTAATTCCTCTATGTATACCCCGTATTTGTACATATTCAATTTGTCTTGTTTTGAGCTTTTGGCATTCACATATACCACTGGCGTTTTGATTGTTTGAGTCCACCGCATAGTTACGATTTAAGAATGAAGCACGCACGAGAGTTGTATTGATGGGGGTTTCGATGTACTAGTAAATGATATTTAATATGGCATATAATGGAATGAGATGATACTACAACGATTGTTTCTGATACGCACAGAAATTTAACAGACTATGAACCACTCAAATCATTCACAACACGATATACTAGACTTCGGTTGTACACCTGCATTGCGATTATATCCCGTCTTACTTCGTCGCGTTGTGCTGTGCTTTCATTCCTGCACAAGCACATCGAAAGAAGCAACAAATGACTGTACCTTATTTAACACCAAAGGTAAACTAGCGATTCAACTTGGAGGCGAGTGGAAGTGTCTTACTGATTATAGCATTTTTACAGAATTCAAGGTTTTTTTATTCGGAAATGATAACAGGACAGAAACTCGCCCATTAAATATTCACGCAAGCTTACCTTGAATTTCACACTCAACGGTGTGTAGAATATCAAGTATAAAGACTTGTTTGTGCTGAAGTTGAACCATAGTGATAATAAAAAAATTACAATTAGTTCGATTTCACATAAAGTATTATTTCGCGTTTGTAGCTTGCACACGATATTAATTGAAAAGTACGAGTCGATGTGTTGTCAACAAGTTTTGGACAACACTCGATCTGTACGGTCGTATGACTTATTCATATATCTTTCGAACTTCTTGGTCAGACTTCAGCTTGAATTACATACTTCCATCATGAAGATGCCCATTCATGCCTATGCTATGCCCGTAAGATGCCGATCCAAAACGCCAGGTACATGCAGCTTCATACTGTCTGATACCGTTATGCCCAACCCATCTAAACACTACTTATAGTTCCTATCATCCCTACGCCTCTTCTCATACCTCTCCTCATCCTCATACTCCCTATCTCTCCTCCGTTTCCTGCGATCATCCGAGTCTCGACTGCGACTACGGTCCCTCCTATCGCTCTTGCGCTTCGAGTCTCGACTCCTGCTACGATACCGATCGCGGCGCTTTTCTTTTCGGTCGTCGGGGCTGCGGCTACGTTCTCTTCGCTTCTCGCGCCTGCGCTCGCTATCATAGTCGTCGTCTCGTGTTCGCTCTCTCCGCTTGTCTCGGCGGCGGTCGCTGTCGTAGTAATCGTCCTTGTCTCTTCGACGGTCTTTGTCTTTTCTCCGTTCGCTGTCATAGTCGTCGTCGCGTCGGCGGTCGCGGTCGCGGTCATCTCGCTTTTCTTTCCGCTTCTCGCGCCTTCGCTCGTCGTCTTCGCTGTCGTCGTCGTATTTGCTCTTGCTTCGTGATGGCTTCTCGTCTGGGATCAAGCTCTGAGCCTCCAGTTTGGCCTTTAGCTCCTCTTCTGTGATCATCTCACCGGTAACCTTGTTCCGCAGCGTAACGGGGTTGTAGCTCTGCGCGACCTTCTTCCCTTTGCCTTTGCCACCACCCCATTCCCCTAGCTCAACGCCTATTGCAGCGTCTTCCTTTGCGCCTATGCCAAGCAGCGCTGGTCGCCGTTTGACTTCTTTCGGTTTCGCAACAGGACCGTTCTTGCCTATTGCATCGCCGTCCTTCCAACCCATACCACGTAGGAGCGCCGCGCCGAAGCCTTCAATCGGGGTTGCTTTGTATGCTTCGAGGGTGGGCGCGTCGGGCGCATTGTTGAGATCGTTTAAGAGTGCGTCCTCTTCTGATTGCACAGGAATCACGAGATCGTTGTCCGTGGATTTGCCGCTGATCAGCGCATCGAGTGCCCTCTTCTCGAGCCGCTGCTCTTCCGTGAGATTGTCTTGCTCCACCTCCATCGGCTCCGCGGCTTCAGCTTCCGCAGCTCCATTTTCTTGCGCTTCGTCTTTCTTGATGATCGTAAGGCCATATTGCACCTTCGGCTCCTCCATCTTGCTCTCATCAACCGTGACATTTTGCGCTTGCTGATGGGGTGCTTTCGCAAGTTGTTTCCGCCGTGCCTCTGCTCGCCAATCGCGGTTGGGCAAAGCTGGAATGATGCGCGGTCCCTCCTTCTCTTTTTTCCCGTTGGCATCGACAGCGCCGCCCTCTGCTGCGTCCCATCCCGTGATCTCTTGTTGCGTATTCGAATCGTCTGGTTCGTCGTCACCGAGCAAAAGCTTGGTCTTTTTGGTGTCTTTCTGTGCGGGAGAAGATTTCAGCCCTGGCTTCGTCTTCAGTGCGCCCAGCGACATCTTGAAGCCGCCCGGCTTGGGGGCGGCCATGGTGAATTGATCCTGCGTGGAGGCGCGTGCGCGATGCTTTGTGTTGTGCTTTCGCAACCGCTAGAGAAATATGTGAAGATTTTGGGAGGCTCCGATGCAGCTTCAGGAGCGAAAGTTGTGGAGGTGTTGTGGTGTTTGTGACTGTGCTGTCGTAGAGAATGTTCACTCAGAAATCCAAAGTTCGCGACGGCCGATGATGTAGTCTTGGCATTAGGCACCAGCCACACGGGATCAGCTCCTGACCAAACTCACCTGTCGAGCAATGTTTGAGGGTTAGAATGTACTTCTAAGAAACTCCGTTACGACAGCACACTTGCGCGATTAGGTTCAAGCGACTTGAATATTGACGCAGTCACGCGCTCCATATTTTCACAGAGTGTACGTGTATTCACTTCTGGAGTTATTTCATTGCCCATGCTTCGCAACTACAAATACATATAGTACACCACACCTGACTCTCATCCCTCGCTCGGCAGTGGGGGAAACAACACACCCTTGTGCGCTGCACCCAGCTCCACCAACGGAGTTCCGTAGTCTAGATCAGCGCCAGGCTTGCAGTATTCAAAGGTTCTTCGATCTTGCTGTACGCCTAGCTGATCAAGTAGCATGCGTGCTTTGTTCGGCATGTATGGCTGTAATAGGATACCGGTGATTCGAAGTGCTTCAGCGGCAAGATAGATGATCTTGTCGACATCCTCGCCAGGCTCTCCTGGGCCAAAGGTCAAGACCTTGTCCCATGGTTGCGACATCTGGAAGAAAGCGTTCGACTTGGTCCAGTTAGTAGGATGGCAGAAAGAAGAGTGTCCAGACTTACCCCTCGGACAAACTCTGCGATTTGAGACACGGCTTTACGCGGATCGTAGGCATCAAAAGATGCATCTACTTGCGAGGCGATGGTAGCAAGAGAATTATTCCGGAACTTGGAACCTGGTCCTTCCGCCCACTCCTCCGCTGGCCACCCACCAACACGCTCGACTGCGCCACGGACGCTCCATTTCTTGCCTCGTGTAACACGAGAAGCCAGGTTGCCGAGTTGCTGGTTCAAGAACTTGTTGTACAAACCAATGATGCGGAAATTGTCATAGCTCGCATCGTCTTGTATACCACCCTCGCGAGCCATGTAAAAGCGCATAACATCCGGACCGAACCGATCAAGGGCGTGGAAAGGATCAACAACCCTGCCAGTAGATTTGGACATTTTTGACCCTCCAAGAGTCCAGTGAGCGTGTGTCAGAATCTTCTTGGGCAATGGAAGTCCAAGAGCCATGAGGAAGGCGGGCCAGTAAATGCAATGGAACCGCACAATGTCCTTGCCGATGACATGACAGTCCGCGGGCCAGCCTCCGGCTTGTTCGCGGCCTGGTGTCCACGGGTATCCGGCCTTAGTCGCATAGTTCATCAGCGCGTCGAGCCATACGTAGATGGTCTGCGAGTCGTCTCCGGGAACTCGAATACCCCACGTTAATCGTTCATACGGTCGAGAAACAGACAGGTCCTCCAATCCTGATTCGACCGCTTGCACAACCTCCTTCATGCGGTGCTCCGGGGTTATCCATTCGGGGTTGTTCTTGAAGAATTCGAGCAACCTATCCTGGAAGGCCGAGAGTCGGAAGTGATAGTTGACTTCTGAAGACCACTCTACTTCACTACCAGTCTCAATCGATGTCTGTAGCCTGGTCAGATCGATTGACAGTGGCGCCCCAGCAAAATCTTACCATCATCTTCCTCCCTGTAGGTGGGTCAAGATATGGCTGTACGGCAGACTGTGGGTAGAAGCATTCGTCTGTGACTGAATACCATCCCTCATGCTTCTGCTCGTATATGAGGCCCTTCTCTTGTAGCAGGAACTGTCCGCCATCAGCTACATGGCTTTCCACCGTCTGAACTCAAGTTCTCGTACCCATGCATACTCGACAGCTTCCTTGTGTTCTCTATCCGTCGTCCGTACGAAGTGATCGTTCGTGATCTCGGCTTTGGCTGCAAGTTCCTCGTACAGGTAAGTAACGATGGCGGGGGCTCGTTATGCGTGCATGCGTACTCTGAAGATCTCGGCACCCTTATCGCAGAACAGTTTCGGGTCAATGCCAGCTTTTGCAGCTGCTCTCTGAACCTGTTACAGATTTAGTGCAGTACTATCACATTGCCAGGTAAACCACCTTCAGGCCATGTTCATCTGTTCCGGTGCATAGCAACGCCTTTTCTCCTTTGAGTTCATGCCACCGCTTTATGACGTCCGTGAGGACCATGGTATACAGGTGGCCGACATGCGGGGCAGCATTGACATAGAATATTGGCGTGGTGATGTAGTAGGGCTTCTCCGACGTTTGGGTGGTAATGTGTCGGCGGCTTCGTCCGCTACCAGCCTGCGAGGACGAGCAGACCCATGCTGACCGCCGCCTCGACAAGCTCGAAAGCACCGTTCTGAACGCAGGCGCCGTGGACCTGGCTATTCTCGCATGCATACTTTCATGGGCGTCTCACAGTGATTCGCGACGATTTCCCGCGGCAACTTTTGGCGCGGTGCCACGTGCGACGCTAGCTTAATCAGCTCCTCATCGACCAGGCGGCTGCTCAGACAACCCAACACACACCACGACGTGTTCCTGTCTCTCGAGTCCTTCGCATTCATATCACCAGCTGAAACCGGCGACTTCGAAAGAGCTCATGGAGTGAAAACGTTCGTATTCAGAGGGCGCATCGAGCCTGGCTGACGATTCCCCTGACAGTAATCCCATCAGTCTTGCGTTGCCAATAGACTCCCAAGCCCAACAGGAACCGTTCGCGATTCAAAGGATTCAGACTAGGGGTCTCCTTCCCACGTGGCACACGGTGCACTGCAAGGAGCATTCATGCAGGTGTTTCTTTTCCATCGAAATATGTCGTCAGACGCCCCCAAGCGCACCCTGCATGCGAGCAACACTTGCGTTATTGTCTTGCCGATAATGCTATATTCTCCGCCTCTCAGCGTATCTACCGTTTACGGCTGGTCGAACCGCTGCTGTCCCAGGACAACGGCTCTTTCGGAAGCCCTCGCAGAGTCACTTGCATCATGGTCCTCCTACGTCAACCGGGCGAGCCCATTGTCCTACAGATCGCAGGTTGCGATCGATTCAAAATCATTGGTGGACCTGAAGTCTCTTTCTCTCGATCTCAAAGATGATTTCAGTCTCGACATGCGCTAATGTGCGTAATATTGCTCGATCACACCTCCATGAAAGCTACTCCACCTTTGAGCCGCCTCCTTAACGCCGATACCTCAATCCTGAGTCGTTTACTCGTGAACCTTCCAGAAGGCGTTCTTTGATCCAGTAAAATCAATCTTTCATAATGTGGCGCGTCATTGTGCTGATATCGAGTGCACGCGAGCCGTGCCAAGCCTCTTTTTTCTATTGAAGCTATTCAGACCCAAAAGAGGTAATCACAACACCAGAACTCGTTCGCTTTCAACGTTGTAGTAATCCCTTGTTGCACTTGTCGCAAAGCGTATGCTCGCCGTCTCCCCGCGAGCTTTGAATCTTCTCGGACCAAGTTATCCGTAATCCATAGCGCCCCCGAAGGCCTGGAAGACCTCTTTGCTCTGGATAACCTTGCTTTGGGGCTTAACCGACCTCCATTCAGAGTGATCCCTTTGAGGGCTTGCCTTCACTTATCGGACTTGGGCGACCCGAAGGTCTATTGAGCAACAATGTGGCCTATTCATGTTCTGGGGTGTCAATAGAGAAAAAGAACGCCTCCGTTAGGTTCTCTCGTGTGATTACATCTCCCTCTCGAACTTAAGTACTCTCCCCAGCACGCACCAATATCTTTCGACATCGTCTGCACCTTCAAGGATCAGCATCAACCATCTGATCAACAGTCGATCCTCTCCAACCTTCACGATACTTTACCACACGATCTATCCAAGTTCGACATCATGAAGATCTCCGCCTTCATCGCCTCCGCCATCCTGTCGGTCACTGTTTACAGTGCCGCCTTGCCAGTTCCTGCCCCCGTCGCTCCACCCGCTGCTGAGGGAACGAGATGGCCCGTTTGGGGGCGTGATGCTGAAGCCGCTCCCGTCGCTGCACCCGCTGCTGAGGGAACGAGAAAGCCCGTTTGGGGACGCAACGCTGAAGCAGCACCCGCTGAAGCAACGCATAAGCCCGTCTGGGGACGCAACGCTGAAGCAGCACCCGCTCCTAGCCCACAGAAGCATAAGCCCGTCTGGGGACGCGACGCTGAAGCTGCTCCCGCTCCTGGCCCACCGAAGTGGGTGTATCCCGGAACGAAGCCCGTTTGGGGTCGCAACGCTGAAGCAGCACCCGCTCCTGGCCCACCGAAGTGGGTGTATCCCGGAACGAAGCCCGTTTGGGGACGCAACGCTGAAGCTGCTCCCGCTCCCAACCCACAGAAGCATAAGCCCGTCTGGGGACGCGACGCTGAAGCTGCTCCCGCTCCTGGCCCACCGAAGTGGGTGTATCCCGGAACGAAGCCTGTTTGGGGACGCAACGCTGAAGCAGCACCCGCTCCTAACCCACAGAAGCATAAGCCCGTTTGGGGACGCGATGCTGAAGCTGCTCCCGCTCCTGACGCAGGGAGAAAGCCAGTTTGGGGGCGCGACGCTGAAGCTGCTCCCGCTCCTGACGCAGGGAGAAGGCCAGTTTGGGGGCGCAACGCTGAAGCTGCTCCCGCTCCTAACCCACAGGGTGGGCCCCTTTGGGACACCAAAGTTGGCGCGGCCGAAGACGATGAGGAGTAAACCTCTTCACGATGAGAAGATTCTTCGACTCTTACATCGCACTACGACAACCGCCATATCAGCTGCTCGATTGCACCATCTCCTACCTTCGATTCAGAACACTCGACGCACACTCGATCATTCGCAAGTCATACACACGCCAGCTACACTTGCAGTATGACCATGGACAACCACGCGACGAGTCTTGTGTTATTATACCGATAGCTCTACACAACACTGTCTCAGTCATGAGGCATGTTCTGGTACCTCATCAGTACATGGACAGAGCTTGACCGGTCTCCCACCTCTTGGACCACGTTCGTGGCATGGAGAGTTTGTACATACATGGTGGCAGACGTCTGGTTAATTCTTTTTCTTATATTTGTATGTAATAGTCGAACTGTACGAGCTTGCTCGATTTCCTTCTTGGTATCTAGTAATATATTCTTGTCCATGCTTGCACTACATTGCAGTTTTGCTGGCATGATCATCCCTCCACTGTGCCAGCATGCATATCACACTTACTGAACAACATCGGTGAGGCTTTGATCGTCCGTTGTCAGCTCATATACACAGCCCCAAACTGTGCATCTGGTCTTCCATACCGAGCTTCAAGCAATGGTCACGTAGTCGAACTCCGACTCCATACGCATGTTCGTACAACATCGCCTCGTCCAACTCATCACACGTGCTCCCCTCGGAATAGCCGCTCAAGCTACCACCGTAACAGCAACAATCTCCGCGCCCATGGTCCATCACTACCGACACTACCATGACTTCGCGCTCATGTCACGACGCACCAGAGATTTTGACAGCTGTCAGTGCGACCTTGCCTTGTAACGTGCATCATCTAGTTGGAAAAAAGTGCCCCTATGCAGGTAGCCGATGTCATTCACATGTTTGTGCTCACCTAGGAGCACCGAGAGGGAGGCTCTGAGATTGAGCTCCTTGGTCGTGGAGATGGACTTGTGTGATGGTGGTGGAGAAGATGGGGATTGTGCTATCAAACTTCTCGGCGAGGGAGCGAGTCGGAGGTTGTGCGACGCGGATTGAACGTCATTTTTGCCTACGAGCTGAGCTGAGAGTGATGAAACCTCGGAGGAGCGATGGAAGTAGAGATGAGGTTGAAGTGGTGTACGGCTTCAGCGGCGGGGGGGGGGGGGGGGGGGGGGGGGGGGGGGGGGGGGGGGGGGGGGGGGGGGGGGGGGGGGGGGGGGGGGGGGGGGG